AAGCCCTAAAGCCCTAAAGCCCTGGGGCCCTGGACCCCGCACCTCTTCTGAGTGAGGCCCGGGGGTGGATTGGCCAGATCAAGACGTGAATCTCGCAGGACCCGCCTGGCTTCAAAGGATTTACCCAACGGCTCCTGTGTAGTGCCTTTTTGGGTTTGATATGGTTTCTGGTAAGGGGTTATAACATAGTGCCCAAGAAGGCTACATATTCATGAGGGTTTCGGTTGCCTTCAGTAGGGAAGGCTGCGGGCGTTTTCTGGGAAAGGCAGCTCTGGGTTTCAGCTCCATGCAGGACCTGCATTGCAAACTCAACGTTGGCATGCGAGCAACAGGGTGCCCTTTCTTGGACCACATCTAGGAGACTTCTATAGGCGCACAGAGATGGGTTTCCGTCAGAATGTGGGCCGAAGACCTCCGGAGGTTTAGTCCTTGGGTGCCAAGGATCTGGCGAAACAAGGACGGAATTGGAGTATCTCCATTTGGGGGCCGTATCCTCTACAAACCATCATGAGGTGGTGCTGGGTGCGGTCTATATAATTGTTTCAACTTTCCCGATATCTAGGTGACACGAAGCCTTGCCATCATTCTAAACCCTGAACTCTACACTAAATCCTAATGTCTGAGCGCTAAACCCTGATTAAACCCTGAATCCCAGGCCCCAACCATCAGGAAAAAACATCCTAAAACATGAGCCCCTCAAACCCTAAACCCCAAACCNNCCCAAACCCTACCCTAAACCCTGAACCCTCAACCCCAAACCCTACCCTAAACCCTGAACCCCAAACCTACCCAAACCCTGAACCCTAAACCCTGAACCCTAAACCCCAAACCCAGGAGCTAGGAGCCTTATGACCAGGCTACAGCCCAGGGCGATCGAGACCGGGATTGTGATATAATTGATCCTGACTTGCGTTTACAAACAGAATATGAGCTATAGTCTAAACTCCTTAAAGGGGGGGTATATAGAGGATTATATGGGGGACTACTATAAGGGTTTATTCAGCGGGATACTAGGAGTTTAGACTATAGCTCATATAGGGATATTACCCGACTAGAGGTATATAGAGTTATATCATATAGGGATAATGGAAAAGAGAATGGAAGCTACTATAATGGGTTTAGGGTTTAGGGTTTAGCGTGCAGGGTTTGGGGTGTAGGGCTGAGGGCTGATCAGGGTTTAGGGATTACAGGGTTTGGGCTTTGGAGTTTGGGGCGTTTAGGGCTTAGGGTGTGGGATTGAGGGCCTCCAGGGGTTGGGATTTGGGGTTTAGGGTTGGGCGTTTCTGGCTTGGGGCTTCAAAACTTTGAGTTTGGGACCTGAGGTGCCTAGCTTAGGATTTTGGACAGGAGGGTGAAGCTTTGTGGTTCATGGTTTCCTATAGAAAATGTGGGTCAATGTCATGGGGATGGTGATTCTTGAAGGGTATGCCCAGGGGATTCAGAAGCGCCCATCTTGTGGTTGGGCTTAGGCGCTCACAGGGTTTCGGGTGGGGTTTAAGGGTTTGCATTAGTGAGTTTATACGACGTGCTGGCAGGCACTAGCTTAATTTCTCATACCAAGGATCCCTCCACAATGTCACCACCACAGGTCATTGTTGGAACCCTACCACCGCATACAAATCACAACCCGAAAGCCTAAACCTAGACCCTGAGCCCAAAGACCTAGACTCTAAACCGTAGACCCTAAACCCCAGACCGCAAACCCTACACCCTAGACTCTAGCCTCTAGACTCAAAACCGAAAAAACCCTAAAACCTAGACCCTAAAACCTAGACCGTAAAACCTAGACCCCAAGCCTTAAACCCTAGCCTCTAAACCCCAGGCCCCAACGATTTGGGTGAAAGGGATCCCTTGACCGCGCCAATCTG